CACCCATGATTATGTTAGATATAGATTGACTCCAGTCTCCATTGTTCAATGACTTCGTCAAAATGTTTTAGGAAAATGTTCACAGATTTGTTAATTTTGGACTCAAATTAACGTTGAGAAAAACTGAATTTATTTTGGAAAAATCCCGGCTAAAACCAAAAATCCCGGCCGGTACCGGTACAAAATCGCCAAATACCAGCCGGTATTCCGGCTGCGCCGGTTATATCCCGGTCGAGTTCTGTCTGAGACCTAATTTTCTCTATTTCTCGTGCAATTTTAGATCAGACACAGTCATCTAAATTATTTAATAAGAAGGTTTAAATTATAAGCAATTAAAAACAGTTGGGACTATCATTGTTTGTGAGTACATATTATACGAATATAAGGTGGTTAATATAATTATAACACATTTAATATAAAACATTTAAGACACATTTTTTTATTCCTGCATTGTACTCATTAATTTAACTAGTAATATTATATAAAAACCACATTTCTATTTGTACAGGGAGCTGCTGGTAAACTACCGTCGCTATACATCGACTATGACTACAATCCTACTTTTAAAAACAAACTACATACATATCTCACATTTGCGAGGACTACTTCATCACAAGCAAAAAATCGACATTGGTAAATAAAGGTAGGTTCTTTTCACTGACTTCGTTAAATGAGTTACATATTTTCACACAAATTACGTGCGTGATCATTAAAGGGTTGCTTGTGTGCAGTTACTTCTGGGCCAGCGCCACCCTGTTGGGAGTTTTCACATAAGTAAATTTGCCGATAATACAATTTTACTCATTCTGGACATGTTACCTATATTATCATTATACTAGTATTTCTTCAGGTCTGTCTTCTATAACCACGATGAAAAGAAAAGCTGGGCGAAAACATTTGAGACTGCAGATTGCAGAACTGGAACACTCTATTTGAAGACAGTGGCTGCTGAGTGCTGAGCTGCATCAAATCTATCAGCATCATGTAACTTCGATCAGGAACAGACTCCATTTCATTTCCGACAACTAGCACCTGTTTTCCCTAGACTTACCAAGTATTAAGTAACTGCATTAGTATTAGGTTAAATTAAAGGCCCTACATCGAACAAGTCTAACAATTAAAACTTAAATGCAAGAGTGCACAATTTATCACTAAATATCTTCCTCTTTTAATTCTAATCAACACACGGTTTCGTCTTTGTTTCACCCAATCGTGCTGATAATCAGTAATCATGCACTCTGCACTCTAACTTCGAGATGTTTCAAAAGGGCTCCCGACGAGTTGAATTAGATCAATATTTTCTTTTGATACATAGATACTGATTGGGAGGTTCATCATACTATTCTTGTCACATGGTAACGATTAACGATTAGCTGATCAGCTTCCAGCATCGACAGGCCGAAATCCATAAATATAATCAGTTGTAATTTAATATTTATCATCGTCCGGATCATCATAATATTTTAATTTAAAGTTACAATTGAACGGTGTTAAGAAAGATAATTTAAGAGAAATGTTTTGAAAGTGCCTGATTTCGAGTATAAGATCTGTACTGATACATTAATTTTCAGATTGTTATTATAGTTTATTTGTATTTTTTATATTATCTTATCCGCACAAGTTCGGAAGCCATCTGAACGCTATTGCCAGACACAGGCATATATTTATTTTGGGGTATCATGCTCTCAGAAATTTCAACTCAGTCCGATATTATAGTTATACTAACCTGCATTGCATAAGGTTAATTGTCTCGCAGTCTAGTGCATAAACCTTTTATTTTGTATAAACCCTTTATTTTGATTGGGAAAACTTTAGTTTAATGTGGTTACCGTCTCTAAAGTTGGCATGATAGTTCATAAACTCTTATCTATTATGTCACTGAAGATGACGCCTTGCAACATGTTTGACGATAGCCTGTAGATTGATAGTTTGATCTAAGTATTTACAACAATTCATCTAGTTTGATTGATTCAAAGGGAAAGAAATTTCTCTCTTATCTATTATGACTATATTTAAATTCAATCCTGTAAAGTGATACTCCTTTTTTAGTAATTTAAACATGTGTTTTCTCCTTCTGATTTTTAAACGATTACCGGTCACGCTGAATAATAATGACATCAGTGAATTTAAAGCTATCGTTAACATCACTCAGAAAATGCGCGTCTTTAGCGCGTGTCTTGTTGTTATGCATCAATCCTTCGGTAGATCGGCGAGATGCACCACTGTGCCTCACCGAGCTGCGAAGGATTGACATCGTGAATCAATGTACACCCAGTGTTAACCAGTATTACACACTAGTAAATTCTACGTAACGCGCGAAAACAATAATTCTGTAGCGTTTTCATTGTCACATCTCACGTCGACGGGATTAAACGCGCGCGCGCGTAACAACTTATCTTACTGCTAACTCAGCGACTAAACACACAACGACTTTGACAATTGACAGATGACTAAACAATTGTGAGTTATGACGGACTTAACTGTATGGGTCAACTACTGAAACTATATTGTTTACTATCTTATTCATTATACTGGACATGAGATGACGAAGTATCTTAAGCAGTACTTTATACCCCCACTTAGAACTTGATTAGTCACGAACAATAGAATCATCAAAAACCAATACAATAAAACATCTTGATCAATAAATGCCTAGCAGCACCAGACAGCAGCCGTGTACCTTTTTCGACTCCGTGGAGTCCCTGATGGACTTTTGTTTACTTTTGTTAATAATCGGACCAACCTTTCTTTCTCGAAACATGTATCCTATTGTATTTCATTATAGTATTAAGATGTGAAGATATACTAGATATTACAACGAAATAGAGGTATACCAAATTGGCCCTTGATATGAACTATAACCGTGTTGATGGTTTTAAATTTTGTATGTTGTAAGCACTTTAGTTTGTGAAGCGTTTTACTCCTCCCCCTCAGCAAGACAGCTAGATTATAGATTAATGATAATAATTGTCAAATGTCGTTATATATTATATAACAGTTATAAATGTTCAATAGTTGTAGAGCGACTTCAAGAGTAGTGGTCCACAGGGGTCCGAAAAAGCCGTACAGGCACTTGGGTCCTTATCCTTGTCACTAATCTCAATTGGATTCGGTTTACACAAAGCATGAACATTTAGACGTACACATTGACACGATATTTATTAGAAAGCAAAAAGTATAAAATAATACGTGCGTGCGCGGCTTGAGCCGCGCCGCATAAGAACGGATGCGTGCAGGGGCTGGAGTACGCTTGTATGTAAATTAATGAAATGTTGCATTGTAAATATTTAGAATTGACGATATATTTTGATCTAAAAGTAAATTTTACAAAGCTGGCTTTGGATTTAGGTAAGATTATAATTTATTTTTTTTTTTAAAACCACGGATAATTTTAAATTTATTTCTATTTGTCGTATAATCATAAACAATTTAATCATGTTTTTAAGAATGCGCGGCTTTGGCGGCCAGTTATTGACTTATACATTAAATTGAATTTTAAATAGAAATGTGAATATATTAAAATTTAAAACTTTCAAAACGGAGGCTTATAAATATTATTATATTATGATTGTAAAATAAAGGATAAAATTTTAAATTTGTTTCACTAATAAAATTTGTTTCACTTATTATGATATTATTATTACATATTATCACTTCGAGATGGCAGGGCCTACTCTCAAGTAAAATACAATTTTTAAGTAAAATACAATTTTTATTTTCCACAGAAGAATCAATACATATTGATATTGAATTATAAATATCCGATAATTCCATTAATAATCATTAAAAGTTGCTTTGTCATTTGTAAAATCAAAAACGAAAAGCCGTACGCTGAACGCGCGCGGCATTTTTTCTGCAGCTGCCTAGCTTGATTCACGATGTCAATCCTTCGCATCTCGCCGATCTGCATACGGTTGCGAGAAGCATTATTGGATGCGCGCGCGCGACCCAGTCGTGCATCGCGCTACAACTGCCTAGCTTGTAGCCGCTAACATCAAAGCCGCCGCGCGCGCCTAGTGCTGGGGTGCATTATCATTGACAATTAAACTTGGTCAAAGATATTTATATACAATTCCTAAATTAAATCAATAATCATATTAATATGAGTATTCAACACTACTCGACAACAAATATTTGCCGGCCCATCGACGATTCAGTCGCCGAAACAAAAATCAAATGTTTGCTTTTTCGTTTCGGGAACTGTTTGAACTCAGTACTATATCTGACTAATCATACTTTTTAATGCTGTCTATAGGTGATGATTAATTCTGAAAAACTAGGGACAACTGGGGAATGATCCCAGAACCTCGACATTTCGCGTGCCTTGCTCTACCAATTGAGCTACTGACCCTGATTCTCAGAGCGAAATCACCACTCATATACAGCACAATTTCATGCTTTGTATGGAATATCATTTATCAGTTATTTAGAATATATATTCGCAATATATTTATTCGTAATGTAAATATAGTGTGGATACATGCGAATATATATTCTAAATAACTGATATCATTATTCATTGTAATATGGCAATAAAATTTAAATTTTTAAAACTTACATTTTGTTTTACTTAATAGATTCCAATCGTGGGTTTACTACTACTGTTTACTACTAACGAAAATGAGTATATTACAGCGAAGCTGTTAGGACTTTAGGAGATTGATCAATTCAGCTATTTGTATTCCTTAAACTAACGTTGTCCGTCATAGGAGCTTAGGAGGGAGAAACAGGAGTACCAACACTCAAACCATATGATGTATGACATCTTTTAACCTAATGTCCGGAACCTAGCTTTTGGGTGTCATGCCTTTGCTGTACCTCGTTGAATGAGACGTGACTACTGACCAGCACAAGCTGATTCGAGAACTACTCATTAGAATATACCCCCGTGCACGTGTTTCATCTTCATTTTTGAAAATTTTACAGGTACCCTGGGGATAGTTCGGATCTTTATCTGTACAAATAAAGTGCCTAGTTAAAATGTACTGCATTTGGATGCTGATTATCAGAAACCTATCAGGACATCCAGATTGCTTTTGTTTACAGTTTGACAAATTATTTTAAACCTGAAATGTTGTCTGTAAATTGCATTGAGATGATTAATTTCTATAGTGATTTTAAGACATGATTCCGAAGCCAGCGTATGTGGTAACTCCACCAAATCTCTCATCGCCTACTTACAAACACTTCAAGTCCTCACAACCCCTCACGGCACAGAACAGGAGGAAGAAGTTAGTGCAGTCTTTTTTAACCCAAAAAGAAGAAAAAGTAAAGTAAGTAAAGTACAAATTGTGACATCACACCATCACACATGTCTACAAAGTGCCATCACATGATAACCAAGTAAAAATCATTAAGATAATTATAAGATAGATAATATTGAAATTATAGCTCCAATAGTTTAATTCATTATTACTAATTTGCAAATTATACCCACCTAACACAGGTTATTTTCAGAAGAGTTCTATTATACGGTGAGATGCCGGCTAGAGAAGTCAGTTCTCACAGTCACCACTACCAACACAAATACCACTCCCCTCCTACGCCACCTGGCAAACGAGTATCACAAACAAGTGAGCATTTCAATAACTTACTAACTTAACAAGTTGTTAAATAACTTACTAACTTAACAAGTTGTTAAATAACTTACTAACTTAACAAGTTGTTAAATAACTTACTAACTTAACAAGTTGTTAAATAACTTACTAACTTAACAAGTTGTTAAATAACTTACTAACTTAAATGTGGTTAAATGTTATTGGTGGTTATTATAGTTATAGTGGTTCGTTCACCAAACTTATCATATATATTAAACCAATATTAAAGCAGATCATTATAGGATTTCTTAGAGTATTAACGAATGAAACACAAGTTTGCTATGCTGGGGGACTACAAACCCCCCTGGGGGACTACAAACCCCCTTCATGGAGCTCCAGCCAGTTTTAAGCTTGTGGCCCTGCTTATGTAGCGAGCTGTAAAATACATCAATTAAGAAATGTCATCAACTAGCCCTCTATTTTCACCATGTTCAAATAAAATATGTCAAATGTTTTGGCTCTCTCTTTTCGATTTGACTAAATTATTCGAGCTTTAAAAATTCGATGACGATATATACTTTTTTCACTCAACTAATACACCCCCCGCGCGTGAGGGCACGTTTTTGCTAGTAATTTGCGACATTACTTTATGGATATCGAATCTCGCGACTTCAACGAAGTGCCGGGGACAAGTTTTCAATAATTCATAAACTTTTCAGTTCCTATCGTTTTAAGCATCGTTAGGGCTTTCCCATAAACTAACTCTCATCATCCTAGGATAATCATGTGTCGCACAGCACTTGTTTCAGTAGAGAGTGTACTCGCCTTTACGAAAGAATGACGTGTACGTTTCGGTCACCTGCGGAAAAAGGAAGTGAGATATCGAAAATCTGAGATAAACCCGATCGATAAAATCCTTTCAGGTAGGTGCTAGTCAAGGTTTCATCTCTTTAGACATTAAGATGGCTTCAAACACCTCACAAAAAGTTTTCAAAAGTAAAATTTACTCGCGACTTTCAAAAACCACCATAAACGTGCCCTCATAGATTTTTGAGGGCAAGTTTTTGAGCGCGCTGCGTGACTTTGTCTGAGCAACAGCAAAACGTATAGTTACAATCTCGCAACTATGAACAGACAAGGAAAATATTGTATTAATATCTGTCAAAGGAATTTAATGTATTTTAACAACTTGTTCTAATAATGCTAATAACTAATCGATGAACCTCATAAATGGTCGGCCCGGTGTGAGTGTATAGTATGGATTGTGCTCTGAAATGGGGCGCTGTTATTGGTTAATACAGCGGCCAATCAGGATCGAGCTGGTTTGTGGCTGCAGTCCAAATTTAGGATCATATCTGATTAGGTACCTAATTAGTGATTATGCACTTTAAAGTAAGATTAACTCGGTATTCACAATCCACATTAACAATTGTCTGCAACCAACCAAGGTCAAGCTGACTACTTAACGAGAAAATCATATTATTATATACTATATAGTGTTTGTATCATTATAAGACGACTCATGTTTCTGACATGTCACTTGTCAGTTAAGAGGTGAAATGAAAAGACAGTTAGACTCTCATTTGATGTACACATTTTTCTGAATTGTACATGTAACAATCTTTATCAGTAATCTGTAATCAGCATATAAATCACATACCAATGTATCAGCAAGGGGCTTAAGCCTATTGAGGACGAAATTCATGTTCTAACTGACTGTTTACTCTACTCCTCAGTTAGAGAAAAATTTAACTTCCATCCCAAAAATATTACTGACCTAGCCGGTTTGCTATCCGATAAAACACTAGACCCTACAAAATTTACTGCCACAGCAAGAGCAATCCATTCAATTCTCTCTGTGAACGAAAATTTTACAGCCTACTATAAGAGCCCAGATTTCCACTCAAATACTGGCCAATGCATAATGCTATAGGACCTCAAAAATAGTATTATAAAACATTTCTATTTTATCCCTACACATTTGTAAATAACTAGAATTGTGTAACCTTAAATTATTTCAGAATTATAACTATTGTGAATTCAATAAAATAATTATCACTTTTGTATCCTTGTATCCTTGTATCCTCAAAGTGAAAACTGAAATCTTACCTGACAACACAAATTATAATAGTACCATTTTAACTCTCATGCAAGTTTACTCTTCTACTGCACTGGTTTTAATTGAACTTCCAAGAACTGTCCGGAAAATAAATCAGTCAAAAGCAAAGCCCCCGAATGCACTGTACACAATCTTCGTAATTACCCAATGTATTTTATCGTGTACACTGTACAGACAGTTCCAATTAAATGCAGAAGAGTTGTTTAATGTTCCCACTTCCCAATTACAATCATAACAAACTCAAAATTGAGGATTGTATACTGTACTAATTTCTGCCAAATAAGCACTATATATACATCACAATTTTGATTAGTGTATGTCCCGAGTGGCGTGACGGCTAGAGCGCCGATCTACTCGCGGAGTGGTCGCACGTTCGATTCCCCGTGATGTTCGCATTAATTTTTTGCCCAGATCACTCCGAGCACAATCATTTTTCATGATAAATAGAACATAAACAAAACTGACATGGGCCTGGCTATATCTAATTTTAAAACATAACCCAGGCTTGAATAACTGTTGAGTATCAGAAACCATTGCAGAAAAAGAAAAGATATTTATCTCACTCCACTCTTTCTGCTGTTCTTACTGTTCTCCACCTCTGTTTTAGTGTCATTAACCGCTGCTGGTTCTTCTATCCTGAATGCTTGTTAAACCGGGGACCTGTATAAATATATAAGTTACAACTATTTTTTAAAGTTACAAATATCAGCTGATTTGCAAAATGTAGCGATTTAATCATGTGGATTGTGAATACCGAGTTAATCTTACTTTAAAGTGCATAATCACTAATTAGGTACCTAATCAGATATGATCCTAAATTTGGACTGCAGCCACAAACCAGCTCGATCCTGATTGGCCGCTGTATTAACCAATAAGTATAACAGCGCCCCATTTCAGAGCACAATCCATACTATACACTCACACCGGGCCGACCATTTATGAGGTTCATCGATTAGTTATTAACATTATTAGAACAAGTTGTTAAAATACATTAAATTCCTTTGACAGATATTAATACAATATTTTCCTTGTCTGTTCATAGTTGCGAGATTGTAACTATACGTCTTGCTGTTGCTCAGACAAAGTCACGCAGCGCGCTCAAAAACTTGCCCTCAAAAATCTATGAGGGCACGTTTATGGTGGTTTTTGAAAGTCGCGAGTAAATTTTACTTTTGAAAACTTTTTGTGAGGTGTTTGAAGCCATCTTAATGTCTAAAGAGATGAAACCTTGACTAGCACCTACCTGAAAGGATTTTATCGATCGGGTTTATCTCAGATTTTCGATATCTCACTTCCTTTTTCCGCAGGTGACCGAAACGTACACGTCATTCTCTCGTAAAGGCGAGTACACTCTCTACTGAAACAAGTGCTGTGCGACACATGATTATCCTAGGATGATGAGAGTTAGTTTCTGGGAAAGCCCTAACGATGCTTAAAACGATAGGAACTGAAAAGTTTATGAATTATTGAAAACTTGTCCCCGGCACTTCGTTGAAGTCGCGAGATTCGATATCCATAAAGTAATGTCGCAAATTACTAGCAAAAACGTGCCCTCACGCGCGGGGGGTGTAATAGAGTCGCTGCGGTTGTAATTGATAATATTATTGTATTTTGTCGTGCAGGACTCAATCGTAATGTGTTTACTGTTTAGTTTTGAGTGGTTGGTCCTCCTGCTGACCAGACACCACCAATACGTGTATCAATTACTGTGTGCATAATATAGACACTTATGCAACTGCTGCATAGCTTGCCAATGTAATGCTAAACACTATAAAACTCATCGTAATAGATGTGGTAAACAATTAACTGTGGACATGCACGAACGCTAAATTATAGCTAAACAAACAGTGAGGACCTGTTCTATTATTTATAATTTCAGTTTACAGGTGCAGGCATGTGGGACATTTTCTCGGAGTATTTAAATTAAACTTATTAGTTATTTCTTACAATCTTCTGAGGACTAATGTTTTAAACTGCGACAGAGCATCGGTTCTAGATTCAAATTTTTCTCTGAAATAAATGTTCTAGATCTAAATAGAGTCTAGTTTGTATCAATGGTAAGGTTTTGTGAATGAGAATTTCGTTGTGGTTGCTGCTTTAAACTGCCAGCTATGACTAGATAACTGGAAATGTTAAATAATGTTAACCATCTCTCTGCTGCTTATCGGTATTCCAACAATTTGCATATGATAAAGTAAGTGGTCAGTTGATGGTGGTAAAATAAAGTGATCAGTTAATAGTGATAAAGTGTTGAAATGGATGGTGGTAGAGTGCATTTGTCAACTGGTGCAGATCATTCTGGTAGAGTGGGGCGAGGAGAGGGGGGGGGGGGGTTGTAGAGTGTAGAGTGTAGCTGAGTTATGCTTTTCAATAATAGCAAATCAAAACAACCTCGCACTACACAGTATCGACATTGTGCCCGCTGCTTGATAACCATTAACCACTGCTGATCAACAGTGTTAGAATATTTGTTAAATTTTTTTCCCTGCTCTTGCCGAAGGCAAAAAGATCGTAGGGAATAAGTAATCGGGTTTGGATATATGAGGTGGCCCGACGGTCCTACGTTGACGACAAAAGTCTGCTCCTTCGTAATATAGACCACTAACCTATAATTATGTGTATAGGAAGCATCTGTTATGCTGCGCGCGACGCTAGCCATGTGTTAATTAATTACAGTGAAGTTCCTCCTTCGCAAAGTTATTTTCCACAATTTTCTAGATTCATTTATTGTTGATGCGCGGCGCTACATTGGTCAAATAAATCGTCATTTTTTACCATGCACGAATCCCACTCAGTTATAAAAAACATAATGTGTAAATATGTTGCACTTTTTTTCCAGTCACACTTTTCACTCAAAAGAATTAATGGTACAAGTACATCGTAGGGCCGGGAAAATTGATCGTGCGTGGTTTAACCG